AAAAAACTTTTCAATATGTTCTTTCTTCCATAGCAGCAAGCTTTTTCTAACAAGCTTTCTCTTATTTTTTTTGTTTAGTGCAAATACTGTAGGTTTGTATTACAGTAAAATAACAAAACAAAAAACATACAGGGCCAGAGATGCTTCAGGGGCTGAGCAAGCTCATGATCTTCACAACTACACAAAAGGCATGAGCACAGGCCCTAGGCCCTGCCTTGGGCCTCATCCCAGGCAAAAAATCACTATCACTTTAAGAAGGAAACAAAAGAAAAAAAGTAAAACTTCAAACTGATGCTCAAGAAATCGTTTGATTCCCCATAGATCTGTATGAATCTTCTTTGACTTGTTTTGCCTTTCCAGGTCTTTAAAGCAGGCTTCAATGTCTGTCAGTGACGTCTCTAATACACAATGATTTATTATTTTGAACATATATCAAAATATATACAATTCCTTTCTCCTCCCCCATGCCACATAAGATACTCTGATACCTATTCTCTATACACAGATGAGTATTTTCTTTTTCACTATTAATTAACCACACACTAGAATAAATGGAATTGACTTTTAATCACACAGGGAGAGAAAACAATTTCTAGGGAACAGGGCTCTGATCATATTTTCATACCATGCTAGACTTCTTCCTGACCTCTGCCCCAAAGGGAATGAACATCCATTTTTAGACACAAAACCTCTTTGTACATTTTATACAAACACAAGTCACAAACCATTTTAGAAGGAAAAAAAAGCATCATCAGCCTAAAAAAACTTACCAAAAAAAAAAAAAAACCAACCCAGAACTGAGTATTTTAATGCTTTCTTTTTATAGTCAGGTTTAGAATAACACAAAGAAAATGTAAACATTTTAATAAATAATGAAATAAATGTAGATTGCGTTCTCCTTCTGTCCCCCAATGTTTGACCCACCCCTTTAGGATCCTACTGTCACTAGCATGCTAGGGGATTCAGGAAATAAAAACACAAAATGACCCCTTTTTAATTTTTAGGGGGAAAAAAGGAGCATGGGAAGTTATTGTTAGTGGTGGTTAGATTGGGTTTTATTTGTGGGAGCAGTCACACACATACACACATTTGCCTGCCAATAAGGAGATCTTTTAAAAAGAGGGCTAAACAAGCAAATGATGAAGGCTTCAGACAGGTTTGGTTAAGGATTGATTGAAAATGAAGTTGTATCAGCCACAAATTGTCTTACCCTGAACTTATTGTGTGTCCTAAACTATCTCAAGCTAGTCTTGGACTGTACCCCCAAAGCAAAGGTGCTAAGAGAAGAAGCAACAGTATTATCGTATCATAGATTTAGAGCTTGAAGGGACCTCAGAGAACAGTTAGTCTATTGTTTTACAGATGAGAAACTGAGACCAACGGAGGTTGTGACTTGCTCAAAGCTCACAAAGGTAATAATCATGACTGACTCCAAAGCCATTATTCATTCCAGGAGATGAAGCAAAGTGGAGGGATAAAAAATGTCAACTTCAAGAGAAGAGGAGGAAAGCAGAGAGGGAGGGAGAGGGAAGGGAAAGGAAGAGGAGAAAAAGGACGACCAGAGGATCAGAAATTTGGAGCTGTGAAGGATCAGAAGTCTTCTAGTCCAGTCCCTTCATTAAGAGGATGAGGAAGAAGGATGGGAGAGAGAAAAGGGAGAAGATGGGGAAGACAAAGACAGCAGCTACTGTAATGATAACCCTTTCACTTCTAACAAGCTGTTTGACTATTACTGTTGAACCCTAGCAGGCACTACACGATCCCCTCAACTCTAATCTCAGGAAGAGTTAGAGGTAGAAAGGAGGAAACAAATGGTCTTCAGGGTGTCTAGTTAGGGAAGGAAAACTGCCCAGGGGTAAAAAGGGGAGGTGTAGCAGCACTGACTGCTCCTCAAGAAAAGGAGAAGAAACCTTTCATCTCTCCAGAGCATGAGCTGTGGGGAGGACTGCAGCCTGAAGAAGGGCAATGCCACCAGCAGCTTCTGCTTAGCTTTGTTTGTCAAGATTCTTCAGAGAATGACTCAAGACATTGGACCAGAATGGATGTACACAGCCCTCCAGGCAGGCAGAAGAAAATGTTTATTTTTTTCCCCAAAAAAACAAAACCCAATCTTCTTTTCTTGGAACTGGCCCTGGCAATTTCCTACGCTTCACCTAGATCCTCCCTCCCTTCCCCGTCAGTTGGCCCTCCTCAGTCCAGCCGGAGAATAGCTTGTTCTCAGAGAGGTCAGCCAGGCAGCAGAAAGGACTGGGCGTTCCATGCTCTGGCTCAGAACCTGCCCCGGCCTTCTCAGAAAGCTGTGCCCAGCCCAGTCTGACTCCAGACTGAAGAGCTGCCTCACTGACCCCAATACCCTTGGACACTGAGCAGTCCCCAGCCCAACCAGCTCACCTCCAGCACTCCTTTCCAGGAGTCAGCTGACCTAATGCTAACTCCTGCTTGGAGAAATGTGTGTGTATTCCTGTGTAGATGCATCAGTCTCTCTGACTGTTCCCCTGGAAGGAAGTGGTCAGAAAATTGAAGATATTAATCATCACTTAGGTGCAAATTTCATCTTCCCTGAATAAAAACCATTATCTTTGAGAGAGCTCCCACAGAAGAGCAGGTCCTGAGTGGAGAAGGCCTCAAGCTATAAGACCTTCTGAAGGTGTTATATGGGTCACCTAGCTTTGGCCCACAAATGGTCCCAACATGGCTTTCTGTTCAACTCAACAAACGCCCCTGAAGGCAAGGACATCATTTTTATCTTTGTACCCCCATTACCTAATAGTGACTGGGACATAGTAGGTACTTAATAAATATTTGTTGCCTGATTGAGCTAAATATGAAGAATGTAAGCTCCTCAAGGTTAGGGACCATTTTTGCTTCTTCTTTTGCATCCCCAGAGCCTAGTGGAGTTCCTGGCACACAGTAGGTATTGAATAGATGCTTGTTGAACAAATGAATGAAACCCCATGATTCATGCCTATTCATTGTCCAGGGTAGCCTCAGTGGAAGAGACTTTGACCTACCTTCAGGTCAGTCCTGGGCAAAAAAGGAAGTAAAAGATATTTTTTAAGACCAGAAAAAAGCAGCTTCATTTAATATGTATGTATATGCATATAAAAGCAAAGGGCTCCAGCTTGGATACCAATGCAACTAGAGATGATTAACCCTTTAAGAATAAAGCATACCTCATTCACTTTCCACCACTTCATGCTGGGTCTTGGCTGACTCAGGAGCTCTTTGCTTAACTGGAAGTCAGAAACCCAAAACATTCAAGTTCACTTAGGGGATCATGTTCCCAGAGCCGCCTGGACAACCAGGAAGGAGTTTCCAACAGGGCCAGGGAATGTGGAAATGAAATTGGTTTTAAAGCATTTTGCACTGGAGTGTTTTGTTTTAAGAAAAATGTGCATTTTAATGAGATCCCATCCTCTCCCTAACCTAGGTTTTCCCAGCATCTTAGTTAACAACCACACACACACACACACACACACACACACACACACACACACACACATCACCCCAGATGGAAGGGACCATTAGAAAGGAGCTATGTCAAATTCCTAGGTGACCAATGGATGTTGGATGCTCAATCTATATTAGATATGACCATGTAAAGTGATCTGGGTAAGCCAATGAAGGCACTTAATGTCTCCTTGCTCACTCCAGGGTCCAATTTAGAAAGCCTGCCCCCCGCCCCGGGTTTGATTTAAATAAATGTTTTTAAAAATACCACCCAATCTTTGGAGCCTAATTGCCAGCAAGCGGGTCTCCTTCAAAGGAATGCCTCAGTGGGAGTGGTTTTAAACCAAAGGAAAACCTACCTGCCAAGGTGACTGGACCAATTAGTTACTGGTCAGGAGGATTGATAGGAACCAAGTTAATGGACCCAAAAGAGATGTCCCTACCTGACCCCAGGACCAGAGGCTTTAGTTAGAGGGGTGAAGGGAAAGGGGCTAGGCCAGGCAGAAGCTATATTCTCAGTGGAGGCCAGATGACTCTCTTCCCATATATAAAATGAGGCTCTCTGCTCCCCAGTGGCAGCAGGAGGAGAAGGCTTATCTCAGCCATTAGCACTCAGGGGGATCGAACAGATCCGGCCCCACTCTGGTTGAGCAAAATCAGCCCAGTGTCCCCAAGTGTTTGCCACTAGATTGCCTGGACCAGAAGAGAAGGGGGAGGAAGGAGATTAAAGCAGAAAAAACTGTCAATCCACAAGGTAGCAAAGTGCCAGAGGGGACAGGAGCTGTCCTCATCGGTGTAATAACAGAGACAAGTAAGGGCATAGGGGTTGAGATGGTCTGTTGGAGCTTGGGTGCCAGAGAGGGTTGCAAAAAAACATCCTAGCAACTACCTTCTTCCTCCACCCCACCTCTCTCCCCATTCCCTTTTTATCCTAGGCCAATGCTTTATCATGGTGTCTCCCCTCAGTGCTGGGGAGGGGCCGCCTCAGTAGGAATGGGGAGAATTGGCCCACGCTCATTAAAACTCCATGGGTGGCGTCACTCTGAGCGTCTGTAGGGGAAGAGGGTGGAGCCTGGAGAGGGCTGCCTTGATTCCCAGGGGAGGGAGGCCTCCGGAGGCAGGCAGGCAGGCAGGCGGGCAGGAGAGAGAAGGGTCCCTGGCTCAAGTGGAGAGGCAGTAATTATGGGAGACGCCCTGTTCGAGGCAGCAGCGAAGAGGGGGAAGCCAGCGCTGGCACCCTCCTGGCTTTGTTGGCGCTATTCCTGGGTTGGTAATTAAGCATTTTGCAAAGCCAGCTCTGACTGCACGCACACACACAGGCATGCACCCACGGGGAGCCTCTCCTCTCCTCTCCTGCCTCCGCGATCACCTTCATTTTCGAGCAGTCACAGTGGCTGCCTCTCCCCAGCTCTGCACAGAGGGTAGAAAAGGCCAGGGGGCTGGCTCTATCACAAACTCCAGGAGGTAGGGATGGGGCATGTCTCTGGGGGAGCCTTTGGTGGCCTGTTTCCTGGTTTTAGGCCCAGTATCCCAAGCCACACACTTCAGACTCAAGGAAAATCATTTACTCACAGCCCTACCTCCAGAAACAAATAAAGATTCTTATGGGAGTCTTAAGTGCTCAGACCACCCTCGTGAAATGTCCCGGAAGGGTGAGAAACAAAAAAGGGAGAGAAATCGATATAAGGGGAATAAAGCTGAACAGGAATGGTTTGAGTGGGAGGGAAGGCATCAAATGTGCCCCCATGGGGGAAAGGAAGCCATGGAAAGAAACCATCACTCCAAAATACAGTATCAGAAGAAAGGGAAAGCAATGGTCCAGATCAGCTTCAGGGAGATACACGAGTCCACAAAACAGAGTTCTCCCAAGTTTTGAAGGTAACAGGAACTGCCTGTGGGATTAATGAGGGAGTCCCCACTTCATCCACTGGTCTGCCCTGAGGTCCTTCGTACTCCTCACCGCCAGAGTCCACTTCATTCTCCCCAGAGCCAAGCTCTCCTGTAGTGTCCCTCTCTCTGCTGTCACTCACTGCCAGTGTGCTGGTCCCTGGGAAGGAGACAGTGGAGAAGGTGGAGGGTGGCTTCCCTTCATTCCCCTCCAGAGCTGGGAAGGACAGCGCCCAGCTGGGTTACAAAGCCAGGAGAGTGGGAGAGTTCAAGGAGTCTGAAGACTGGTCCCCGCTGCTGCTACTTCTCCGGTGGGCCTTGGAGCATGACTCAGAAGGGGATACGGGGGACTCCTGCTCCAGCACGTTTGGGTAGGTAAAGACCAGGTTGGAGGTGCCTGGGGTGATGGCTGGAGTGGAGGTCACCACAATAGGGGTGTTGAGGGGCTCCTCCCCATAAAAGCCCCCAGCAATGTTGATGGGCTTAATGACGGACCTCTGGGCCTTGTCCAGGGCTGAAGAGGAGGAGGATGGGATCTCTTCTTCCAAGGGCTCTTGCTTCACCACAACAGTACCTACCCCGCTGCCGGGGCGCATGGACTGCAGGCTGTGGGATGGCGGGGTCCGACATTCTTCGGGGCTGATCTTGCACACGGGCCCATGTGCCACCAGCATAAACTCTAGCTTCTCCTTTTCCTTCTGCAGCTCAGCTATCTCCTTCTGCAGCCCTGACTTTTCCTCCTCCAACTCTTCTGTTTCCTGTTGGGAGAAGAAGAGAAATTAAGTGAAGTCAAAGGAAGGAATCCTCACTTTTCCTTCTATGTTCTCAATGTTAACATACCACAGGACCAAAAGATCATAGATCAAGAGCTGCAAGGAACCTCAGAGGTCACCTGGTCCAACCCCCTCATTTTACAGATGAGGAGATTGAGGCCCGAGGTCACACAAGTAGTAAGTATCCAGAGTCAGGACTGAAATCTGGGCCCTGATTCCAGAGGACCATGGTACAATGTCTCAGTCTAGACTCAAGGGTAACCACTAACAATTTCTGTGGACCCAGACACAAATCAAAGAAACATGGTGTCTTAAGAGTTGGAAGGAACCCTATAAAGACATCTCATTTAACATGGATCTGAAGAAGACTGCCCAGATGAATCAGGAGAGACCTGCTACTGATTCCACCCTCCTTTTCCACCTTTGTCTCATAACACACCCCCAATGCCCTAAGCCAAAGTCAACTGCTCTCTAACACACTGTTCTCTATGCCTAGAATGCCACACCCACCCCTCTTTCCCTGTTGAATTCTTACCATCTGTTCAACAACAGCTCAAATCCCACTTCCTCCAATGAAGCCTGCCCTGATATCCCCATTGGTAATGACTTTCCCCTACGACCTCACATTGCACTTTATTTGCAACCTTCAAATGAGCTTGTCATGTTTGTATTCCAATTTTCTGTGTATGTACCTTACCAGGCTAATACCCTACTAGACTGTAAGTTCCCGTCATGAAGAGGTCATGTAAAAGGATTGGACTAGATAATCTTGAGGTTCTTCTAAGTTCTAGATCTGTTATCCTTTATTTTATGATCCTATGTTATATCTAAGCTTTGTTTTTCTCTCAGAGCCTAGCCCACAGTAGGTGGTTAATTAAAGTCTTTTGGCTGAATGAATGAATGAACACATGAATGAATAAGAGCACCCCACTTCACCATCTTGGACCCAAAGTTAAGGATTCTAAAACACCTGGAAGATAAGATACTTCTTATCTCCAAAGTCCAATCTAGGTTAGCACACCAAATGGGAGAAAAGGGTATTTGGAAGAGAGAGAAAAATGTTGTCTCCTAGAATAATCATGAGACATCCGTTGCCAGTATATGGCGATGCTTTATTGAGTGAGGTCATAGGATCACAGTTTTAGAGGTGGAAGGGACATCACAGGACAACCAGTCAAATCTTCTCATTTTACAGATGAGGAAACTGAGGCCTAGGGAGGATGATCGAATTTCTCAAGGTACTAACAGTAGTATATGTCACAGAGGGATCTCCAGTTCAATGTCCTATGTGCATCACAAATTCATCATATTTAAAACGAGAGCTGAAAAATCAGTACCTTCTGGGAATCTACCCTTTTCTTCCTATGTTCTATCCTCCCTCCCAACTGCTATCCTCAAACCCAAATTCACTTTCTCTTTCAGGCAGCTGATGGAGTAGTGGTTAGAGCGCTGTGCCTGGAGTCGGGAAGACCTGAATCCAGCCTCAGACACTTACTAGCTGAGTGACCCTGGGGCAAGTCATTTAACCTCTGTTTGCTTCAGTTTCCTCAATTGTAAAATGGAAATAATAATATCACCTACCTCTCAGGGTTGTTGTGAGGATCAAATGAGATAATATTTGCTGAAAAACACTTAGCACAGTACCTGGCATATATAAATGTTTATTCTCTCCCTGTTCCCTTCATTTCCTCCCCAGTTCCATCAGAATGGGTCTCAAGATTTCATTTCGGAAGTCAACACCTGTTCTTTACCTTTCAAGGTTCATCATATAGCCAGATAAGATATATCAAGAAATCTCTAAGGGAGTAAATACCAGCCTACTCCCCTCTCTACATGCTGCCCTGTGCCTCCACCCAATGCAAACTCCTATTTAAGGAAGGGTAGTAGACAAGAGTCATACAAAGCAGGACGTGAAGGACAGTTACAGGAGAAAAGAAGTTTCCACCTGCCTCAAGAGTTTGACAAGAGTCATGGGCTTATGAGAGGTTTCCTGTGGAGGATGCGGCCGAGGGACCTGTGAGGGGAAGGGAGGGGCAAGGTGCATGGCCTCAAAGAGGAACATGGGGACTTTGCAAGGGTTTACTCTAGGCTTTGGAGGGTCAGGATTCTCTGAGGACCAGGACAATGTCAATTTTCTGAGGTCAGGGACTGTTTTGTTTTGATCTTTGCAGCCTTGGCCCCCAGCAGGTGCTTAATTAATATTTGTCAGATTGAAGCAATGGGGCTCTAGAGTCAAGTCCCACTCTCGCTAATTACTACTTTTGTAACCTTTGGGCAAGTGACTTATCCTCCCTGGGCCAAGGTCTTCTTATGTGTAAAATGATGAGGAAATTGAACTAGATGGCCCTAAGGTTCCTTCCAGCTCTAAATCTGTGATTTTATGAATTAACTGAATTGGGATTTGTGGGGAAGAACATAATTGGAGAGTGGAAAGTTTTCAGATACCAATAAAAACAATGTCCAGATACCAAGATAAAGACTAATCACCTCTGCCTCCCATGTGACCTTGGACAAATCATGTACCTACCCTGGACCTCAGTTTCCTCATCTATCAAACTAGGGTTTGCTTCTGAATCTTTAAGCTCTGGAGCTCTGATGCAACATTCCTAAATGACATGGTTCCATCCTTATGTCATCCCCTTCTCCACCCCATCCCCACCTTCTCTACCCATTCCCATGAATCTACTATCATGGATTTGCCCACTCACTTAGAGTTTGAAGAAAAAAGCATCCTCATGCAGTCTCTGACAATAGCTCTGCCATCTAATCCTGAAAACTCAACACTGCAGAATTCACTTGGGAAAGAGTCATCATTGAAGGGCCCCATGGACTCCAGGAAGAGGCAGGGCAGATGGAACCCTAGATTTGGACTCAGGACATGGGTTCACAATCTGACCCTCTCACTTCTTACCTCTGTAATTCTGAGCAAGTTCCTTCAGCTTTCTGTATCTAGGCCTTCTCATCTAGAATATGAGGAGGTTGGAGAGCTGCCTAGTGTAAAACACTTCATGTGTAAGGGTATCTCTCATGCCAAAAGAGATGTACCCAGGATGTACTCTCCTTCCCATAGACATGTTTAAATGAGGCTAGAAGGATCTGGACCCAATCCAGATATTCTGTTCTCTCTTCTTAGAGGGTGGAGCTATAGACTCTTTAACTGGGATGATGTTGAGACTGGTTAGATCAAAGGTCAGGGAGGGAAAGGTCATGGACACCCAAGAGCTTGGGTGATTAAGGAGCTAGAGAGAGTGACTCACAAGGTCAGAATGGAAGTGCCGAGACCACAGAGAAAGGCTCATGTGACTTGGTGTGGGGTGACGTTAGGTTGTTCATGCCAACAAAGGACATGAAGGATTTAAGGTGCACAGTCATAGAATATGACTCATCTTTGTCAAAAAATGGAACCCAAACTCTGGAGTCTAGGGAAAACATCTTTTTACTGACCTTAGACTGGGAGAGAAGCTCTACTTGAGGTAGCCCCTAACATTTGAGGTGTTTAGAAATGGAGGGGCCTAAATTATGGACAGCAGGCTGACCATGGGAAGAACCAGGCTTACACTGGCTCTTGAAGGCTGGAAATTTTTCTTTTTTTTGGTGAGGGCAATTGGGGTTAAATGACTTGCCCAGAGTCACACAGCTAGAGAGTGTTATGTGTCTGAGGCCGGATTTGAACTCAGGTCCTCCTGACTCCAGGCCAGTGCTCTATCCACTGCACCACCTAGCTGCCCCAAGGCTGGACATTTTTATATTAGGGTAGGCCCATGCCATCACCTGCTTTTAGGATTGACAGATTCCTGAGGTTTAGAGAGGATGAGGTGTCAGAGCAGTGAGCCTAGCGCCTTTCGCCACAAGCAACAGTTCTTACCGCTTGTAGCTTCTCAGTCAGCTCCCGGCGTCGGTTACGGCACTTAGCCGCTGCCAGCTTGTTCCGCTCTCTCCTAATTCTTCTTTTCTCTTCTTCTTCGGGAGATAGCTAGATGTGTGGACAGAAAGAAGAGGAGAAAATAAAGAAGTGACAAACAATAAGAATTGGGCCAGTCTCCAAATTGTTTTTTCAGAAGGCAATATTTTAAACCAGATAGAAACCAGGAGAAGCTGCATAGGAAGGAAGCCAGACCAGAGTTCAACAGGGAGAGGTGTTTCACTTGAGACCACAGTCCCAGGCTCTTTCACAGCTAGGAGTGAGTAGTTCACTAAATATACATGAAGAGGGAGATGTCCAGCACTGAAGAAGAGAACAGCATCTGCTCTTGTCAGACCAGGTGAGATGACATATTTTGTCATGTCATCCCCTGATGCTTTGCCAAGAACAAAGAGTAAAAGCCAGGAATGCATACTGGAGAGATTTCCACTCACTGCCTGGCCTGACCCCACCTGCATAAGCAGCTTTTTCCAAACTCTAACTAATTATCCCTCCCAGCACCCATGTCATCCCTGCCAGATTCATTATCCCCATTTGGCAGATGAGAAACCCAGCCCTAGAACCCCTGGAGGAGCAACACCACCACAAGGAATCTCTCCTGGTTCCACTGGGGTCCAGCACATAGGGGATGTATCAGGACAGTCACCTTGGGATGCTACCTACACTTAAACCTTCCTTAGACCTTCACTTGAGAGGATCTGTCACATGCTCTGGGAGAAAGTCCTGGATATGTATGATTCAACTCAAATGAGGCTACATGGGACAGTGGAAAAAGAGCCCTGGATTTGGAGTCAGTCAGAGGCAATGGGTTCTGATTCTTACCTTTGTCCCTTACTACCTCTGACCTTGGGAAATCTACATCCTATCTAGGCCTCAGTTTCCTCAACTGTAAAATGGAAGAGTTGGATTTCATGGTCTCTGCAGTCCTTTCCAGCACTAGATCTATGATTCCATTATTGCACACCTATTATGTTCCCAGGGCAGCTAGGTGGTGAAGTGGATAGAGTCATGAAGACTCATCTTCCTGAGTTCAAATCTGGCCTCAAATACTTACTAGCTGTGTGACTTTGGGCAGGTCACTTAACCCTGCTTGCCTTAGTTTCCTCATCTGTAAAAATGAGCTTGAGAAGGAACTGGCAAATCACTCTAGTATCTCTTGCCAAGAAAACCCCAAATGGGGTCACAGTGAGTTGGACATGACTAAACAGCTTTTTCATTAATACTAATACTACTACTACTACTAATGGTGATATTAATAATAATAATAGCTTACATTTATATACTCCTTTAAGTCAACAAAATGTTTTGCATACATTATGTCACTTAATCAACAAATACTCACTGAATAAAACACTCGGCTAAGGCTCCAGGCACTGTTGGGGACTTTGCTTTAAAGGAATGTGGCCACAACTTAGTGACCTCTAAGGACCTGAATCATCCTCACTGGGCACTAGATGTATGAGACTGCTGCCCACTCCCAGGAAGCAGCTGGCATTCTGGTCAAAGGATGTAGTGCAGTGTCCACTCTGACAGCTGTCCCATCGGAAGGTAAACTCCTTAGACAGCTAATAAAAAAGCATCCCTCCACTTCACAAACAGAAGTGGGTAGACCACAAAAGCAGAATCAGGCTGTTTTTCTTCATTATGACAAAGGATTCAATGGGAGGATGGGAGGAGAACATTTATAGAAATGATAACGATGTAAGCACAAAAGCATTCAATAGCTCTTGGGTTGTTGTTTTTGTTAAGAATGCAAGCTCCTTGAAGACAGGGAATTCGTTTTGACTCTGTATTCCCAGAACCTACCTAGTACAGGACTTTGCACATACTTGGTGCTTCATAAATTCTTGCTGGTTGACTGACCAAGCTGAATTGATCATTTGGTTCAAGGCTCAGTTCCCTGATAGTTCAGGAGAATAAAACAGAAAAAGCTACATTACAGTCCCCACAACTATCTGGATTCTTCACTCCATGGTCCTCTTCAATAAGACTGACCAATGCATCAGAGGACATGGCTTGCTAACCCTAAACCTCATGCCCCCATACAAACAATTCAATTCAGCAGTCATTTAATGTGCACTACTATGGGCTGAGCATTGCAGCAGGCACTGAAGAATCAGACAAAGGCAATCCTGCCTCTGTTCAGCAGAAGTTTACGTTCTACTGCACAGTCTACGATCTAGGTACATGACCCTATCATCCTCACTCAGGCTGAGACCCTCAAAGACCCAGCACTGATGGTACTCGACTACATACCCCTACCTCCAAGTCAAAGTATCTCCAAGAAAATATGTGAGGTCATTGCCTGGACATGAAGGCACTCTGCAGGTACAGAGGAAGGTGAAGAGGGAGTGAAGCACACAGTGTGAAGAGGTGAGAAGAGACAATACTAACACCACCCAAAAGCTACACCCAGAAGCACCTGGGACCCCTTGTCTACTGCAGCCTCCTCAGATATGTAGCTTAAGTAGATGCTTGCTGACTTGACTCTCTGGCTCTCCAATTACCCACAGGGGCAGCTAGTCGGTGCAGTGGATAGATCACAGGCCTCAAGTCAGGAGGACCTGGGTTCAAATCCGGTCTCAGACACTTACTAGCTGTGTGACCCTGAGCAAGTCACTTAACTCTGTTTGCCTCAGTTTCCTCATCTCTAAAGATGAGTTTGAGAAGGAACTGGCAAATTACTCCAGTGTCTTTGCCAAGAAAAGCCCAAATAGGGTCACCAAGAGTCAGACATGACTGAAATGACTCAACGACAGTGAGCTTTGCCTAAGGGTTTGCTATGGCTAAGGTCTGCTCCCACCCCTACTCTCCACACATACTTTTGCTTTCTGCCAGGGTGGCAAAGATTTTACAGCAAAAAAAATCCATCCTCTAGCACTCAATCTGACGATGAGCCTCCCCATATAAACTGCCAATGGTATCTAACTAGAATGATAATAATACTAGTAACTGTAATAGTAGTGATGCCATACATACACCAGATCATAGGCTCATAGATTTACAGCTAGAAGGAACTTCAGTCTTCTAAGCCAACCCTCCCCTTCATTGTACAGATGAGGAAACCAAGGCCCAGAGAGGCAAAGGGATTTGCCCACAGTCACTCAGCTAGCAAGTGACCAGACATGAGTTCAAATCCTCTGACTCTCAAACCAAAGCTCTTTCCATTGTACCACACTGCCTCCTCTATAAAGGGCCGTCACATCCATCCTCTCACTTGATGTCACACCAGCCCTGTCAGGCAGGCAGGAAAGGTCTTATCATCCCTATTTTATAGACAAAGACATTAGGGCCAAGTTGAGTCAAGTGACTTGTCAAGATGACACAATTCATAAGTGGCAGAGCATAGTTTCAAAACCAGGTCTTCTAACTTGCAGTTGGGTAGTTTTTTCCATGTGTGGTATAGATGTTTGGAGTATTCCCTCAATCGCTATCCTTCCAGTCTCTCAAGTTCATGACCTCGGCGTTGTCCTAGCCTCCTCACTCTCCGTCACCCTACCCACCCAAGCAGTTGCCAAATCTTGTTGATTCTATCTCACAACATATGTTGTTCTCTCTCCCAATGGATAAAGCTGCCATCTTAGTACAGGGCTTCATCACCTCTCACCTGGATTATCCCAACAACCCCTTAACTGATGCCTCTCCTTGCTCCCATCCATCCTCCATGAAGTTGCCAATGTAATTTTCCTCAAGGGCAGATCTGACCATGTCACACTCCTAATAGTCAGCAAGCTCTAAGATTAAAAAGAAACTCCTGTCTGTGACCTTTAAAGTTCTCCAAAACCTCATCCTCTAAGGACTACTCTCTATTTAAACTGGCCTTTTTGCTCTTCCTCCCACAATACTCTCCATCTCCTCTCTACATGCTTTACCCTGACCATCTCCCATGTCTGTCTATGCACTCCCTCATCTTTGCCTCACTTCCTTGCACACTCAGCTCACTACTGATGACACAAAGCCTTTCCAGATCATCCAACTGCTAGTGCCCTCTGCCTCTAAACTACCTGGTAGGCACTTGGTATTTATTCAATACATACTTATTAATGGACGTGTTGTTTCCCCACAGCAGAGTGTTAACCCTCCCTGAGGGCAGGGACTGTTTGATTTTTGACTTTGTGTCCCCAACACCTAGCATAGTGCCTTTAGAAGGCACCTAATAAATGCTGGTTGGTTAACTGATTAAACAAAGCCTTTTCTAGATGGGATTAGAGGGCCTCTGAGGTCCCTTCTACCTCTGAGATTCTAGTACATGGTGAGTTTAAAGTAAGCATCTGGGCCCAGGTTACAATGGAAGAAGTGTCTCCTCTGACACTTGAGTTTGGGCTGGAAGGGGCTTTGAGGAGCATCACCAATGCCTTGAGATATTCAGTCCCAGTCTTTGCTCTATAGGAGGTTGGCAACTTTGGGGGGTATCAGGTTGAAACAAGTTTAGCAGCAGCAGGGACATTATTATTATGTTCTTAATTCTTCAGTATTGGCCTTATTTAGGTACTGTACAGAAGGTAGCAAACTGTTCTCACCAGATCATGATCCTAACAGGAGTTGGCCCAAAGTTCCCTAAAAGAGACTCAAAGCTGTTCATCTTTTCAGGTTCTTGCAAATGCCCACCTTTTTGAGTATGACATCAAATGAGATCGTGGATACAAAAGCCCTTTATAAACTATAAAGCTGTGTGTGTGCATGTATATGTATATAGACATACATGTGTCTATATATACATATGGCACATACACATGTGCTTATTATTACTATTAGAGAGGTATCATGGCATTGTGGACAGTAGCAGGAAGACATGGATTCAAATCCTACCTCTGACACTGGTCATGTGACCCTGGGCAAATCATTTAAACTCTCCGCACCCCTCTGAGACCATTAACTACAGAACTGTTGCCAATATATTGTGGTATAGTACGAATTCCTGGGAGTTCCCTATACCAGTGGAATCATAGGTCTGGTCCCAAATAAATTATTACTATTATTTTTATTATCATGACTAGGCACTATGTTCTTCTATGTGTTGTGTGAGCACCATCCTAGCTAAGCTTAGACAG